TTGAGAAAAGAGCTACCCCTTTGTCATCTTTATTTACCCAGAATCCAGGTTCTGGCACATAGTCAGGGTTAAGCAAATATTTGTTGAACAAGCAAAAGAACAATCGACTGCTCTAACTCCCTGGTTCTGTGAGGCTCTGAGGTCCTTCCCCTCCTTGTGCCCTGCCCCCAGCCAGAGTCTCTTAGCCCATGTTCTCCCTTTGCTGATTTCCCTTTTCCATTGGCCACCGTGTCACATTGCAGGTCCTATTGCTATTCCTCCCTTGCTCGAACCATTTCCCTCTTCTCTCCAGCCCCGTGAGCAGGGAGAATTGACATCAAAACATAATTTTGTCAACAGGACTTTTGTGGGCTGGTCCTTTTCTTCTCTCCCACATTCTGTCTGTTTTCTTTTCCATGTTGTCACTACCCACATTTCCTCTTAAGCTTCTGCTCTTTTCATGAGTAATGGAATCTCTCTCCCTATCATCCTCCTTCTCTTTTCTGCAATTACTGAGGCTTGAACTTAGAGCCTGGATACTATCCCTTAGCTTTATTGCTCAAGTCTGGAATTCCACTGCTTGAGCTACTGCTCCCCTTTTGGCTTTTTGCTTGTTAATTGAAGGTAAGAATCTCAGAGAACTTTCTTCCCTAGGCTGGTATTGAATTCGGACCCTCAGATCTCTCAGGTCCCAGCCTACTGAGTAGGATTATAGATAGGAGCTACCAGTGCCCAGGTTCATCTTTTCTGTTTTCTATCCTAAGTTAACCCTCCATGGGGGATTTGAACTTTGGGCCTTCTGCTTGCAAGGCAGGCACTCTGCCACAAGAGCCATTCCACCAGTCCTCATAGCCTTTCTTCACCTACTTCTCAGATGACTCAAAGGGTTTCCAAGACAAATAACAGAATAAATTGAGTCTTAGGTTACCCGAGGTTACCATAAATTTACTGTAAAATTCCTCTTTTATTTTGTGCAGAACTCTAAAGTCCTTCAAGGCTGCTGCTGGCTGCTTCCTTTTAGTCAGCCATTCTTTGGCTCCACCTTTTCTGATTGTGAATTGGGCGTGGCTTCTGCTTTCCTGGCTTTCCCTCCGAAAGCCTCAAGTGCAGTCCAGTCTCTCCAGGAAGAACGTTCTGCTGACCTTCCTTGGTGATAGTCTATTGCAGAGTTCTCAGGAAAACCTCCGGCAATGCTGCTGCTAGGTCCTGCGTGTCTGATTTGGGTGGCTGACCCAATTCTTATGCCAGTCTTTTGTGGCCAGGTCTGGTAGCAGAGCCAAGAGACACAATGGGGCAACTTATGAAGAAAGAACTGCGTCTGACCATTTTCCTAACCCTGGGGCTGAGATGCTGCACTCAGGCACTCTTTTCTAGCATAGTCTCTTCTTACCCAAACTCCATTTGTGGAAGTTATGTTCACACTTGGTTTTCTTCCGTCTGTTCCCTTTTCTCACTCGATGAAGATGCCAAGTTGATAAAAACAAGTAGGTCATCCAATTTTACTGCCCTCTCCCCTAACCCAAGTGTGAAATTTTCATTTTACAGGAATCTTTAGGTTTGTGCCATATGATCTTCTGTTGGAGACTATGGCATCAGCATAGGGGAAGATCAAGGCAGTGGTTGGTGTGCGAACGATGAACCATAACTTTGTTTTGTGTGTGTGTATCTGTGTGTGTGTGTGTGCGCACACACACTTGAACTCAGGGTCTAGGTGCAGTTCCTGAGCTTTAATTTTGCTCAAGGCTTAGTTAGCATTCTATCATTTGAGCCACACACAGCTCTACTTCTGGCTTTTGGTGATTAATTGGAGATATGAGCCTTATGGACTTTCCTGCCTGGGGCTTTGAACCTTGATTCTCAGATCTTACCTAGAGTGCTAGGATTACTGGCTTTAGCCACTGACTCTCAGCTTTATAATGTTGTTTCTGGGTCTTGCATGCTCTAAGTTATCAAAACAATCAATCTTTGACTCAGAAACTGAGATCTGTAGTCTCCTGTGGCCGGTTTGGTCATTTTGATATGAAGATTTCCTATTCTCCTTTTCATGCCTGCTACCTACACTAGTAACACATATAACTTTCCTTTACAACACATTATCAGCTGGACGCTGGCAACTCACACCTGTAAACCTAGACACTCAGGAAGCTGAGATTTGAGGATCATAGTTCAAAGGCACAAAAAAAGTCATGAGACTTATCTCCAATTAACCACCAGAAAACCGGAAGTGGTGCGACAGCTCAGTGGTAGAATGCTAGCCTTGAGCAAAAGAGCTCAGGGACAGTGCACAGGCCCTGAGTTCAAACCCTACAACTGACAACATAAATGAATGAATAAATAAAAAAAGTAAGCATTTATATAAGCTACTCTAGGGAATTTAGGGGTGGCAGAGAGCTACCAACAGCAGCTCTCTTTTCATGTAATGAGGGAGTGGAACTTGAAGCATTTCAGTATCAAATCCACTGTGGTCCTGCTGTGTTTGACAGGACCATCTTTACATGTCTGATTTTAGATGGTGTGTTGTTTCTAGGGACTAAACTCAGTAGAGTGTTTATAGGAGCATGATGTTGTCATAGCATTTCTTTGAACACATGATTTCATTCATTGTACTGCAACGTTACTGCTGACAATTTTTTAATGACTTTACATGCCTTTTAGAGGTAATTCTTTAACAAGTGAATCTGAGCTTCAAACTTTAGTGTGTTTAGATTTCTTTAAAACAGGTTATCACTGTGTCATTCAGGCTGGCCTGGAACTTTCTGTGTAGCTGAGATCCTCTTGTCTCTTCCTGCCCAGTGGCAGGATTATAGGTGCTTACCACCACATCCAGACAGATTTTATTTTTTAGAAAATGTTTAGCTCTTAAATCTTTCTTGATTGAATGTGCAGGTTATAAGGGAAAGAAGGTAGTTCTTTCCAGATGAACAGTTAGTTCCAAAACTATTGAGTAACTCATTATTTACCCCATTGATTTGAAAGTCAGTTTTATTATGTATAATAAAACAATATAACCATGCAACCATGGCTACTTCTGTTGTGCATTTCATTGATCTATTAATATGCCTGTGTCTTTGTTGTTATCACATTGCTTTGGTCATTATGACTTTATAGGACATTTTGCTGTCTGGTATGGCAAGGTCTCTGTGGCTCTTGTTTTGCTTTCTGTCAAAGTTTCTTGGCTACGTACATGTGTTTAGTCTCCCAGATGAATTTTAAAATCAACTTTTCAAGTGCTAAAACCATTGGGATCAGAATTGAAATTGTATTGAACTGACATCACTGTAACACAAATCTTCCCATCAGCAACATGATTTCTTTTTATTTAGCTCACTTTCAATGTATTTAAAATTCTCCTGTCTTCTTGTAGCTCTGGAACATTTCTCAAAATGGGGTGTGTGTGTGTGTGTGTGTGTGTGTGTGTATGTATGTGTGTGAATCTTTTTTGTTGCTGGAGTAAATAGAACTTTTCTTTGACTTTAAATTTTTATAAAGGTTTTGTCTTAGTCAAGGTTTTTATGGTAGTGATTTAGAGAAATACACTGAAACTAATGTAGAAAAAAATGCGGTAGAATTTTTGGAAGACAGCCAAGGCCTTGCCTTCAGGCCAAGGGCAGAAAAGGGGAGTAGGCCTCATGAGGGGGAACGGAAAGGAGAATTACTCAAGTCTCCTGCTGCTTCTCTTATAATTTATTTTTTCCTCCAGTGTTTCAGCTTTCTTCTGTCTTATTTCACATTTCTGAAAGTTAAGGGCTGTAGAGTAAACCTAGCTATAGAGACCACCACCATCTGGATGGAACATTCTCAGAAAGCAACTGCAGGCTGGGGCAGTCATTTTCAAGGCTTAAAGACAGATGTTTCAATGCCTGGCACTCAGAAGGTTCTTGAGAGGCTGACTTAATCCTCAAGTTAACAAGAATTGTTTGAGCCCCTGCTCTCGACTTTGTATTTGCATGGGGCTTTCCAGTTCAGGATGTAATCCCACTTTATCACCATTTCATAGGTTTTGGGCTGAGAACACACATAGGATCCCATGAATGCTAAACTACATAGTGTAGGAGCATACAATGCCACGTCAAATATTTAAAGTTGACAGTTTTGAGTTAATGACAACTCTTAATTCCTACTCAGGTCTGGCTTACTTTGATTTTCCCGCGCAGAAAAGAGGCATTTGATAAACAACAACAAACCCTTCTTAGAACCGGGAAATCCTGTTTCAAGCTATTTCTTTTCTTTCTCTTAATCTAGTCCAGCAGTGGACTAGGAGCCCGGCAAAAGCCTGCAAGGGGGAGCTTGGAACCCCAAAAACGTTGGCACGGCTGGCGCTGTGGGTCACTGATTGAATAGCCTCCAGGAGTAGCTACGCTTCTGCGAACCTGCCTTCTTTACGACCACACGAACCCAGGGTGGCCACTTCTGCACGCCGGTGTGCTGAGCTGAAACACCGTAAAAACAAAGCCTGGAGGGTGCCTGGGGGTCATCTGAGGCCTGGCATGGCTGAGGGAAAGAGCATAGAGGATTCGGGAGACTGAGTCACAGGGAGGCAGGGGGTGGGACCCCTTCAGCCTCGGCTCTTTCACACTGTGAAAAACTCCTTGCCAAGGCGGCCACGTTCTCCAACTAAAGGAGAACGAGGGTGGATTTGGATGAATTTTTCTCTCACCACCAGAAAATTTCCTTTCTTCAAACTTTGCTTCCCCGCCCAGTGTGCAACCAGCCAATCAGGTTTTCCTCGTGGCCCCGAGGGGCTGCCGCGAGCCCAGCCCGAGTCCTCTGCAGCGCAGAGCCCAGCAGGAGCACGGTGGGGCCCAGCAGGGGGCGAGGGCTGGGGGTGGAAAGAGGTGGAACTCTGAGGATTCGTCAGTCTGGCCTAAGCCCCGCCCCAGTCCGACCTTTAGGGCGTGGCCTATGCGCCGCCCCGATCGACACGTGTGCATGTTTAGGGCGTGGCTTCCGGCAGCAAAGCCTTTACTTTCCGGTAGTCCCTTGACTCTGCTTCCTTCCGGGGCGGGACTTCCTGTCCATAGGCACCAGGCTTCAGAAGCGGTAGGAGGGCTGTCCGCACAGGTTAGTTCGGCCAGGCGGGGCTTACGTTCCTCGAAAGGGTGGTAGCCGAAAGGACGTCTTTTCTTTCTCTTACGTGCCTTTTCCCCCCTTTTTTGTTATACCTCCATTTGCACGAACGCCTGGGCTCTCGGTACCCCGCCCCCTTCATGAGGCTCTTCCGCTTCCTCTTTCCTCAGGCTCCGCCCCCAGCGTCCTGTGGCCATGACGACCGTTCCGCGGGACTCCCTGGTGTGGAAGCTGGCGGGGCTGCTGCGGGAGTCCGGTGAGTGGACTTCCGGTGGCCCAGGCCTCTGGCGAGCTGGAAGTGCCCCCTGCCTTCCGGAGACGAGCCCCGGGAGTTGTGAATTCCACCCTCGGGGTCGCGAGGCGTCGGAGTTGCCTCATCTCCTCGCGCCCCGCGGGTTTGTTCGGCTCCAGACTCAGAGACCAAACCCGAGCGCCCCTTCTCCACACAGTCTCAGAGGCTGCAGTCATGACTGCCAGCCCCTCAAGACCAAGGACGGACCTCGAGCATCGTGTCGCGAGACACGGAGTATAGCACTGTATAGTTAGGAAAAAAAAAAAAAAAGCCCGTGATCTGGAGTCAGACTCACGTAGGTTGGAATCGTAACCCTCTTTCCGACTCAGGTTTCCGGTTTCAGCACATTGGCCATAGGGATTGTACTTAACAAGTTGAGAGAATTTTAATAGACATACTTAACATTGTATGTGCATCTATTAAGTACCCCAAAATTAGTATCTAGTATTATTTGCTTCCTTTGGTGCCTGGGCACACTGGAACCAGTATTTGCTTAATAGATGGTTGGCATTAATTGTAGTAGAACAAGCTTTGGCTTTGAGATAAGACAGAAGTAGCAACTTCCTACCAAGCTATATGATCACATCAAGATTTCTAACTTCTTTGAGCTTCAGTTTTCATATATGTAATAGGAGGTGTGTATGTTTGTGTGTGTGTGTGTGTACACACACACACACATGTACAATGTCCTTTGTGCATATGCATCAGTCTTGGAGCTTGAACTGTGGACCTAGGAGCTGTTCCTGAACTTTTGCTCAAGGCTAATGCTCTATCACTGGATCCACAGCTCCACTTCTAGATTTTTGGTGGTTAATTGGAGATGTGTCTCAGGGACTTTCATGCCCAGGCTAGCCCCACCTGACTTCAAACCACTACCCTCAGATCTCAACCTCTGGAGTAGCTATGATTACTGGCATGACCTATTAGTACCTGGTTTATGATAAGAGGTTAATAGTGCTTTTCTAATTCTGATGAAGTTTAATGGGTACCAATCAGGCACAGTCAGTTAATTTTGGCTGTCTTCTGTTACTCTGCACTCCCATTGATGGTATCTTTGGAATCTCTCTTTATATAGCAGTTTTATTTTTGGACCTGAATTAATAACTAAGCACATGTCTTATTTCTTCTTCTATACTGAGAAGTCCTTTGAGGCGGAGAGTCCCTGAACCATGTCTCTACTCTCAGTGTCTAGTACATAGGAAATACTTCACGTAAGGTTGTAGGATTTGTTAATCTATTCAGCAAAAATCTGATATGACTCACAAGGTTTAGAGCTTATGGGATATGTGAGTGAGTGATTATGAAGAAGCAGCAGGAGGGAGATTCTTGTGATGGGATAGTTATGTCAGTTTTAGTGATGGGCCCAGTAATCTACACAAACAGCTCCGGAGCTTACTGTTCCTTTGGTATATGTACTAGTGTCAGTTTCCTGATTTTGATACTGTCCTACAGTTACATAAAGTGGGGGAAATTGTGAGAAGATTTATTGTTTGTGGAGATTTATTGTTTATTGTGTGAGGATTTTTGGGGGGGCAGTTGTCTCACTGTATTGCTCAGGCTGACCTCAAACTCACTATATAGCTGCCACAACCTTCCTGCCTCAGCTTCCCAAGAAGAGATTGCAAGCACATGCCTATTAAAAAAAGATTAAACATTTTTAGGAAAAATTAAAAAAAATTTTATACTTAATTTGTAGCTGCACTTTTTTAGGTAGAGTAATAAGTGCCAAGATGACCAAAAGATGCCCTTGGGGATAACAGTCTTGGGGCTGGAGGTGGTAGAGTGGTAGAGTTATTGCCTATAAGGAGGAGATCCTGATTTCAAACTCGTTTTCCACCAGAAAATCGATGATGGTGTCTTTAGAGAGAGCAGGTTTAAAATAGCAATAACAATATAATAGTGCTTTCATGAATGGTTATTCTTTCCATACCATGTGTTTTAGTGTTGTTCAAAAGTTTTTATATGTGGGTATTATTTTTGCTATCAGAAAAAAGAAATAAAATAACCTGCTAACTTTTGCGCAGAAATGAACGATTGCAGTGTTGAAATTCAACAGTATTAAATAATACTGAGAAGGTTTCCGGGTGAGATTGATCTTGAACTAAGCAGTAGAAGGGGATGTATCAAAAATGAGAGTGCTGTGGGCTAGGGTAGCTGCAGTTCCAGTGGTGCAAGGAGACCAGGACTTTTTGAGCAGAAGGTGAGAGAATTTGGAAAAATGCGTTGATGCCTCACAGTGGAGCAGTCTCAGGTGTCAGGTTGAAGAATTAGGAGTATTTTTTTTTTTTTTGAAAATATGGGTAGCTATAGAAGACTTTCAAGCTGGGGAGGAAATAGAAAGTTTGGTCCTGCTAGATACAAATACATAAATAGAGACAAGAGAGGAGAGGGAGGGAAAGAGGGAGGAAAGAGGAAAAAAGAGAGGAGAGAGAGAGGTGAGAGAGGGAAGAGAGGAGAAAAGTTTGGTCATGTAGTGGAAGGTCTACAGGGTCCATATGTATCTCTGATCCATAATCAGAGTGGGTGTGTTTGGGGTCACAAAGTCTTAAAGGAAAAGATCTTTCATTGTATCCTCCTGTCTGTCCTTTTCTCTTTAGGGGATGGGGTCCTATCTGGCTGTAGTACACTGAGCCTTCTGACCACAACACTGCAGCAGCTGACCCGTGTCTTTGAGCTGTACCTAGGACCATGGAGTCCTGGCCAGACAGGCTTTGTGGCTCTGCCCTCTCACCCTGCCGATTCGCCTGTCATCCTCCAGCTTCAATTCCTCTTCGATGTGCTACAGAAAACACTTTCACTCAAGGTTCCAGGGGTGGGGATCGGGCTAGGTGTGCAGCGGGACTGAGGGAATGATGAAGGGTGGCTATAGGCTGGGTCTACAAGAAGTGTGCAGGGCTGCGATCCACATAATGTCAGGTGCAGGTGGTTGTGCTGAAGAAGGGGTGCTGTGAGAGGGGGTCTGCTGGGCCTCTGACCTGAGTGTTTGTTTTTCAGTTGGTACACATCCCTGGTCCTGGTCTGCCAGGACCCATCAAGATTTTCCCATTCAAGTCCCTTCGGCAGCTGGAGGTATGGGGTTGTTGGAGCATGTTGGTACACAAAAGCTAACATGAAGCAGCCATTTGGGGGATGGGGGACAGGGAGAGGGGCACTTTTGGTGGGGAGGCCAGGCCTGAGTGTATTATTGCTTTGCAGTAATGTGGTATTTAGTCTGTTTTTGATTGAACACTTTACTTTGAACCCTAGGTAGGCTTTGTCATCTCTTTGTAGCCCATCAGGGAGACTCAGCTATGGAAGGTCTGCTTTTCTCATTCCCTTTCTTCCCTTACACCAGCTCCGAGGTGTTCCCCTCCACTGCCTGCATGGTCTCCGTGGCATCTACTCTCAACTGGAGACTCTGATTTGCAGCAGGAGCATTCAGGCTCTAGAGGTGAGGTAGGCTTAAGAGGTGGGCTCCATGCTCTGTCTCAAGAAACACAGAAAACCCAAGTGTTCAGGGTCTCCTTCCCTTCCATCCCTGTGACCCTGCAGCATTCTATGCCTGTCTGTGGACTTATAGTCACACCTGTCATTCCCCATTAAATAGTATAGTGTATGCTTTCTTCCTCTCCCAATGGTGCAATCCTTGGGGACAGGGACTTGGACTTTCTTTAAGGCTAAATCTCAGGTGGAGCCACATATATTAAAAATAAATAAATAGCCGGGTGCTGGTGGCTCATGCCTGTAATCCTAGCTACTCAGGAGGCTGAGATCTGAAGATCCGTGGTTCAAAGCCAGCCCGGACAGGAAAGTCCGTGAGACTCTTATCTCAAACCACTAGAAAACCAGAAGTGGCACTATGGCTCAAGCAGTAGAGCGCTGCCTTGAGCTGAAGTGTGCACAGACAGCGCCCAAGCCCAGAGTTCAAGCCCCACGACTGACCAAAAAAAAAAAAAAAAAAGAATGGATGGAGCATGAAAAGAAGATGAGAATGGAATACTGGTAGAGAGAGGGTAATGAATCTGTCCCTTGCTTAGGAGCTCCTCTCAGCCTGCGGTGGGGACTTCTGCTCTGCCCTCCCCTGGCTGGCTTTGCTTTCCGCTGACTTCAGCTACAATGCATTGACAGCCTTAGACAGTTCCCTGGTGAGTGCTCTGAGGGACAGAAGTATTGGGAAAGGGTAAGGATGAGTTTTTCGGAAGGAGGGCAAGTTGGCAGGGGGGTACCCTTCATGAAAAATTCTCTGCCTCTTTTTCTGTCCTCAGCGTCTCTTGTCAGCTCTGCGTTTCCTGAACCTGAGCCATAATCGAGTCCAGGACTGCAAAGGCTTCCTGATGGTAAGCATGAGCAGTCTTAACAACTGGTGCACTTGGGCCTTGGGTGACTCTGTTATTATCTTTCCTGGGCGGCTTGTAGTCCATCTTGTTCTTTTCTCATGCGAGGAAGCCATATCTGAGGAAGTAGTACTGTTTGGGGGTTTGGGTTCTAGCATAAGACAAGGCAGAGTTCCAACCTTAGCTTCTAATTAGGACAAATGAGTTAGCTTCTTGGTTTGTTCATCTATAACACAGCAATTACTGGAGTACCTGCTTTTATATAGTACATTGGTTGTGAGGAATACCCAGCGTTCCTCAGCCCAGTGCTTCACTCAGAAAATGGTAGATTTTTGTAATGATAGTGACAAACCTTTTCCCTGTGTCTTTCCATCCCCTATCAAAGATAAAGCTGGATACTCCTTAAAATGGTAAGGAAAGGTTTTAATCAATAGGAAGATGGTCCAGTATAGACTGAACTCTACTTTGATTTGTGTTGAGGTGAGTGGGCATTTTAAATTGAAAAGGAAGAGTAAGAAAAGCTGTATTGGGGGGCTTAGGCACAGGCAGGGAAGTAGAAATTTATGAAAAGCTAGAAGAGAGGTGTTGGTTCATGGGAAAGCCATCTGGGTTGGCATACTAACTGGCACATGGTGAAGTTAATTCCTTCCCTTCCTCTGAGACTGAAACCAATCCTACTTTTAGGTGTTGACAGGAACAGAAAGTAAATTACTGTGTAGCCTTACCTTTTCCCAGGAGCCTTGCATTCTCCTGATTAGAAATTAAAAGAGTGGGAATTACCTTCCTGAGTGTAGCTCAGAGCTGTTAAGAATGACAGTACTGGGCTGGGAAGGTGGCTCAGTGGTAGAGCACTTGCCTGGCATGCATGAGGCCCTGGGTTCGATTTCTTAGCACCACATAAGCAAAAAGAAAAAAGCCTGAAGTGGCTCTGTGGCTCAAGTGGTAGAGCGCTAGCCTTGAGCTGAAGAGCTGAGGGACAGCGCCCAGGCCCAGAGTTCAGGCCCCATGGCCGGACCCAAAAGAAAAAAAAAAGAATGACAGTCCTGTTTGCTCAAGTGTTTTAATTGGGGAGGGGGATGAGATCATTTGTGCTGAGAATCTGCAGTTTTTATAGGTCAAGGTGGAGTCAAGAAGAGGGCTCAGAGGAGGACCTTGACTAGAGCTTAGTCAATGTGAGAATCTTTGTCCTCCTCGCCCACTGTCAGGATTTATCTGAGCTTTACCACTTGGACATCTCCTATAATCACCTGCACTTGGTGCCAAGAATGGGACCTTCTGGGGCTGCTCTGGGGACCTTGATTCTGCGAGGCAATGAGCTTCAGAGCCTGCGAGGTCAGTAGACCATTGGGGACCTCCCATGTGGGAGGGAATTGGGGGACCGTGAGACCCAGAGTGACACAGACACCTGTGCCTCTTAAGCTTTGTGAGGGTTTCCAGCCAGGGCTGGCTCTCTGATTTGTCTATTTCACCCTTGCACCCAGCACATGTACCACCAGACCCACTCTCTTCTTGCCTCTGCCCCAGGCCTAGAGCACCTGAGGAACCTGCGACACCTGGATGTGGCCTATAACCTGCTGGAAGGACACAGGGAGCTGGCACCGCTGTGGCTGCTGGGTGAACTCCGCAAGGTGTGTCAGAGGGCAATGCCTTCTTCACATAGTTGGGTGGGGAGGCATGAGGCCCACCTCATTCACCTCTCCCCACCCTGCAGCTCTACCTGGAGGGGAACCCTTTGTGGTTTCATCCTGAGCACCGTGTGGCCACTGCCCAGTACTTGTCACCCCAGGCCAGGAATGCTGCCCATGGAGTGAGTGATCATCTTGTATCCACTTGCTTTCCCTTTCTTTCCTGCCCAACCCCAGCCCTATACCCTCTTGCCTCCCCTTCCCCTGGGTGAAGAGCATAAACCTAGGCTCCTTGCTGTTTTGTTAATGCTGACACTCCCTGGGGCCAGCACCACTGCAAACACTGGTCCTCCTCCTCTGTCTCTGTGCAGTTCCTTCTTGATGGCAAGGTCTTGTCACTGAAGGATCTTCAGGTCAGTGTGGTGGGGGCTGGATGGCAAGGACTGATGGAGGCTGAAGTGAAGGGCAGGCACTGGCTGGGGATATAGGAATGATCAGGAGAGATCTCCTGGCTAGGGGAAGGAAGGGCCGGCTCTCAGCTAGCTCAGGCAGGGCAGAGCTGCTCCTCTGGCTCTGAACTACATCTTCTCCCTGTTGTCACACACCAGACCTCTGCATCCTCGGGACCTAGCCCCATAGCCCCACCTGTGTCCTGGCCAGTGGGGAGTACCACAGAAACTTCAGGTGGCCCTGAGCTGAGTGATAGTCTTTCCTCAGGGGGTGTTGTGACCCAGCCCCCACTTCGTAAGGTTAAGGTAAGTGGTGTGCTTGGCTGCCTGGGGCGCTGAGTTCTTGTTGGAGTGATGGTAGAAGGCCTCATCCTCAGGGGTTTTCTGACAGTTGGGTAGGAGACCATGGATAGCAGACAGATGCCCCTGGCTTTCATAGAGCTCTGTCCTTCCACCCAACTTAGAGCCGAGTTCGTGTGAGACGGGCAAGCATCTCTGAGCCCAGTGATACAGACCCAGAGCCCAGAACTCTAGACCCCTCTCCTGCTGGTAAGTTAGCTACACCCACTCCTCCCATTTCCCTCTAATGATGTTTTTTTGCAGTTCTGGGAGGAGTAACTTGGGAGGAGTGGAATCTTGTAGCGGGTCTCTTAGTCTGTTGCTCTTTTTTGTTATTTTGTTGTTGTTTTTTTGTTTTGGTTGTACTGGAGCTTGAATTCAGGGCCTTGTGCTTGCTATGTATGTGCTCTACCATGGAGCCATGCCTTCCAGCCCTTTTTGTGCTGATTATTTTTGAGATAGAATCTTGTTTCCTACCCAAGTGTTTGCGTGAATTGTGATCTGCCTATTTTAGACTTTGTATTGTAGCTGGGATGACAGATGTGCACTACCATACCCAGCTTCTTTCAGTTGAGATGGAGTCTCGTGGGTCTCTCAGCCTAAGCTAGCCTAGAACCACAGGCTTCCCAGTCTCAGCCTTCACATAGTTTAGGATGACAGATGTGTACCACCACAATCAGCTATGGATATCCTTTGAGAGGTCTTTTGAGTTTTTTTCTTCCCAGGCTGGCCTAGAACCACAATCTTTCTATTTCCAGCCTCCAAAGTAGTAATGAACCACTGGCACCATACTTTGTCTTTCCTTTTAGTTGAGGAGAACTGTTCCTGGGCAGCAGTCTCTAGGGATTTTTAAGGAGCATTAACTTTGTGGTGTGTTAAGAGAACGGATTTGATGGCCAGATAAGTCTGCGAAGTGCACAGTTAAACAGTGCAAAATTGAGTAGGTTTTCTTCCCTTCAGACCCCAGGCCCTTAGGTGTGCATCCATATTTTGTGAATCTCCCAAAGTAGCACTTGCTGTTGAGGTCTGGGTTGCATGTGACCACAGTGTTCCATAGGGCATGCTCCTGAAGGAGGTCTGTAGCCCTTTCCTTGCTTGAAGATGAGGCGCCACAGAAAGAGCCCAGGGTTGTCGTATGGGGTGGGACTAGCGGCTTGTTCAGCTCCATATCCTCTGCTCCCCAGGATGGTTTGTGCAACAACATCGGGAGCTAGAGCTCCTGAACAGCTTCCGGGAGCGCTTTGGCTGTGACTGGCTGCAATATAGGAACCACCTGGAGACCTCAGGGAGCCCCCCTCTGGCTGCCCCCAAGACACCTGCTATCAGTGTCCCTCCCCTGGGTGCCCTGGGCCCTGAGTCTCCCTCCAGTCCTTTGGTCCCAAAGAAGGAAGCTAGAACCCCTGAGAAGTCACCATCAAAGGTATCAGAGGAGAGCAGGGTAGTGCCAGAGTGCCAGGAGGAAGAGGAGAGAGAGGAGCAGAAAAAAGAAACAAGGGAGGAACAGGAGGAAGAAGAGGAGCAGGAGCCAAAGGAAGTAGAAGGTGAGCACCTTGTAGGCATGTGGGAAACGGGGTCAGGTGGAGCGATGCTGGAACAGCCGGGCTGTGGTGGGCTGCCTCATGGGAGGGTAGTCTCTGGGTGCTTTTCCCTCCTCCAAGCCTCCTCTGCTGGTCTCTCCACAGCGGAGCTCTGTCGGCCCATGTTAGTGTGTCCCCTGCAGGGGCCTGAAGGCCTGCGAGGCAGGGAGTGTTTTCTCCAGGTCACTTCGGCCCACTTGTTTGAGGTGGAACTCCAAGCAGCCCAAACCATGGAGCGGTTGGAGCTGCAGAGTCTGGTGGCAGCTGAACTAGAGCCTGAGGCTCAAGCCCAGGGAGAACCGGTGCTCGGGGTGAGTGATGGGGATGGGGCTTCTGGACAAGGCATCGGCTGAGTGTTTTCCAACCCCTCTGATGGACAGGTGGAGGGATGATCTGGGGCAGAGTGCAGTTGCAGTTGGCTTGGGAAGCTGGGCTGGGAGGTACGTTCTCAGCATGTGAATGGAGTCCAGAGTCATTGTTTTCCTCTTGCTAGTACCATCCCTAACTCCTCTCTCCCCTGCTCTCCTCTCATTGTGTAGGGCTCAGATCTGCTTCCAAGGGCCCCTGTTCTTGTGCTGCGCTTTTCCTACATCTGCCCTGACCGGCGGCTACGCCGTTACATGGTGTTGGAGCCTGATGCCCATGTGGCCATCCAGGTGAATGGGGTTCAGAAAGCTGTGGGGGGAGGTGGGAAGAGCTGGAAGGAGGGCTCCAGGTTGCAGGAAAAACGTTTTCCAGGCGTGTTCATCTGGGTCCACCTGCTTACAGCTGCCTTCCACCCTGCCTTCTTTTAGGAGCTACTTTCTGTGCTGACCCCATTTACCACTGTGGCACAGCAGCAGCTTGGGCAGGCAAGGGAGCTGCTGGGGGGCAGATTCCAGTGCTTGCGTTGTGGCTGTGAGTTCAAGCCCAAGGTGGAATTGGACAGTGAGGAAGGCTGGAGGCCTTTGTTCCAAAAGACAGGTACCAGCCTCCCCTTGACTCCCTGCACCTCAGCTTCCTACTTCAGGGAAAGCAGCTTTGAGTGGGGGACTGTGGGGGAGCCCCAGGGAGGAAGGCAGAGGGGTATGGGACCAGCTGTTCTGCAGAAGAGAAATAAAACTACCTCCATCTGTATCACAAATCAGAGGAAATGATATAATGGTATCCTTTTTTTTTTTTTCCTCTCAAAGTCAGGAGATGCCAATTCTATAACTGTGTTTAAACATACTCATTATGTTTTCAAAACTTGAAGGCTTTTTTGAGTATTTTTGGCAAAATTTTCAGGAATAACATAAAACCTAGTGAGCCCTTCCTGCAGTATCAAGGCAGCTGTTGGGTAGGATGCTTTGGGCGTTGGTGGAATTTGTCCCTTATTGACTGACCTTGAAACTGCTTGATAGCAAATAGCACCTCATGTCATCACTTCATGTTTTGCTCTTTAAGGGTTTTTCTGTTGTAGACCAATCAAAAAGCAAGGTCTCTGAAGATATTGAGAAAAAAGGAATACTCTGGAAAACAACTGTGTTGAAATGTGTGATTTTATTAGCCTCTTTTCTTTTTTTTTTTTGGCAGCACTTGCAGCAGGGCTTTATTAGTTTTTAAATTATTTTTTATTTTATTTTTAAAATAGTGCCATGTTGCATTGCTCACCCTGAGCCTACCTGGGGAGCATGCACACACATTGTGTGAGTGGAAATACCTTGAGACACCTGTTCCTCCCTGGCTATATTCCATAGGTCCTGCAGTTTCTGGGGTCCCTTCTGTGGTGGCATTAATGCACTTTGTCATATGCTACATTCTCCTGTGAGCCTCAGTTACCTCATCTGAACTGAGAAGGAAATGAGTGCCTCCCCCTAATGGTTTTCTTAAGATATTTGAACAAGCTGGTCATTCACACCACCCTGGTGGCTCATACCTATTAGCTACTCAGGAGGTTGAGATCTGAGGATTGCAGTTTGAAGCCAGCCTGGACAGAAAAGTCCACAAGACTCTTATTTTCAGTTAACCACCAAAAAGCCAGAAGTGGAGCTATGGCTCAAGTGGTAAAGTGCCAGTCTTGAGTTAAAAGGCAAAGAGACAGTGCTCAGACCCTGTGTTCAAGCCCCAGTACCGGTGTTGACACACAGACCCAGACATAGACATACACATATAAACAACATACAACACACACACACATACACATACACAAATGTAAACATGACAATAAGGAACCAAGCGTAGTGGCTAGCCCATATAAAGTAGCTACCCTACCTCTGTGGTTACTGTAACTCTGTGGTCTTGGGCAGGGAATGTAGATTAACCTTTTGTTCCCTCATTTGCAAAATAAGATAGAATTTTGGTGGGAAGTGTGATAATATTAGCATGTGAGCTTGCACATGCCTCTCACCTTGTAGCTGCTCTTTTCTCCTCGCTGGTCTGTGTCCTGCCAACCCTATAAGTCAGGCACTGTATTTACGGGCTCAGAGAATGCAGAAGTCTAGCTTTTAATTGATAGAGCCTGGGATTGGACCCAGATCTGGCACCAGTGCCCTTCCTACCTTTTTTCATTCTATTAATTTTGGTGCTGATAGTGCACCAAAGAATTGGTCATCCCAAGGCTGTGGGAGGGGATCAGAGCAGGGCCTGGAATTAGAAAGTGGGGTATATTTTTGAGGAGACTGGAGCATAGCCTAGCTGCGCTGTCATTGGGATGGGGAAGGATCCATCAGTGACCATGCCTGGAGAGGGAGATGGAGGTGGGGCAAGGTTCAGGAATGGTTGTCATGTGTGGAGCTGGAGATGGCCCACCGGACGTCTGAAAGTGTGTGATTGGTGGGGATGTCCTGTGTCATGGGACCCGTATCTCTCCCTCCCCAGAGTCTCCTACTGTGTGTCCAGACTGTGGAAGTGACCATGTGGTTCTCCTGGCTCTGTCTGGGGAAACCCTCAACAGGGAGCAGAACCAGGGAGAGCAGTCACTAGCTGTCTCCCAATCCCCTGTCTGTGACCAGCCTGGACAAGGTCACCATCCCAATAGGGTTGATAGCATCCCACCTGAGGTTACCATCTCCCATGGGCGTAGCAGCTGGAGCCTTAGTCCCCGTGAGTATGGTATAGGCAACATAAGATGGAGATGGGCTTGGGGAAGAATGGGCACTATGAGCTGCCGTGGGCAGGCTGATGGTCCCATCGGTTGCTCCCAGCCCCTGAGCCCTCTGGCTTCCGCTCTGTGGATCACCGACTCCGACTCTTCCTGGATGTTGAGGTGTTCAGTGATGCTCAGGAGGAGTTCCAGTGCTGCATCAAGGTCTGTGCCAGCTGGCATTGCCTACCCCCTCCCACCACCAGGATGCCTGCTGTCTACCATGGCAGCATGAGTTAGTTTGAACACTTGGGAACTACCACTTGTGGCTTTGGGTTTCAGCTGCAGCACTTACTTGCTGTGTGGCTGTGCACACATACCTTAATACTTGAGTCTTAGCTGTCTCCAGCACAGTGGAGATAATCCTTCCTGCCTTACTGAGTGAGAGTCAGTGTCTGGGAGCTGGTCAGGACAGCACCCAACAGTCAGTACCTGGGCCTCTTGTCACAACAAACACATCATTAGGCCCTCTGTTGGAGCCTGGCATGTGGGACCCTGGGATCTGGAGTCAGTTTTGCCCTTGACCTTAGAGTTTGGTGTAAGGAGTGTAAGGGAGCCAGATCACACAATGTGAAAGTTCTGAAATCAGGGTAAGATCCTACTGACTCCAGCTTGACTGGGTCAGGAAGTCTTCCTTGGAGGTGTTGCTAAGTCAACTTCCAGGAAAAGGATACTATAAATAGTGCATGGGGGAGTGAGAGTAGCTTCTTGGGAGCCAATGTGCAGAATAAGGGGCAGCTCTTTGATGGGAGTGAGAGAGGCAGGCAGGCTGTTTCAGGAGGGTCTGGTGTGTCTGCCAGGGAGTTTGGATGGGACTTGGGCCACTTGGAGCCACGGAGAAGTTTGAAGCAGGAGAGTGGTGATGCGTTCATTATTTAGGGTAGTCATCCTGGCGGTGTGGCTTGGAGAAGGCGAGAGGATCCAACTGAGAGATTCTGGGTCTTAGTGGGAGTGGGGACTAGGGAGGAGAGTGGTAGCATAGGAGGAGAGGGTCTTGAGCTCAGGGTCACCTTGACTGATAATCAGCAATGGGGAGGGAAACTCGGCATTTAGTCTGGCCTCTGTAATCACTTTCTGGTTCTTCATCTACTTCTTTTTCCTCTTAGGTGCCAGTAGTGTTGGCAGGCCACAGGGAGGAGTTTCAGTGTCTTGTGGTTGTGTCTGACCACAGGCTTTACCTGTTGAAGGTTGCAGGGCCAATCTGGTGAGTGAGCCAAACTTGTAGCCAGGGCAGCAGCCTTGTACCTCCCTGTCAGTCTCACCCTGTCCTCCTCTTATTCTTGGTAACTCTGCCCCCCTCTACAGTGGGCCTCCGGCCAGCTGGCTCCAGCCTACCCTGGCCATTCCCCTGCAGGATCTGAGTGGCATGGAGCTGGGCCTGGCAGGCCAGAGCCTGCGGATGGAGTGGGCGGCTGGGCTGGGCAGCTGTGTGCTGCTGCCTCGAGATGCCAGGCGGTGCCAGGCCTTTCTTGAGGAGCTTGTTGGTGAGGAGGATTCAGGGAGGGTGGAGAAGGGGGGGCTGGGCAGGGCCCCCAGAACCCAGAGTGAGCAGAGGTCATGGGGCTTGTTTTTTTTGCAAGTTTCTTAAGTCTAGAATTGGGCAGGGTTGAGAGGTGGAGGGGCTAGGATAAAGGAGGGCAGGACCCTCTGAGGGTTCCAGTCTCCGGATGGCTCTGTCCAGGTATCTTGCAGTCTCTGCCCTCTCCTCAGAGGAACTGTATCTGCACCAAGGAGGAGGAGGTGACCCCGAAGCACCGGCTGTGGTGAGTTAATGGGAGGTAAAGGCCCAGTCTTCACAGAACCAAGACGTGATTCTGGACTGAGCAGGCCCTGAGACTGCTGCCTAACTTCCCTCCCTCCCTCCCTTCCTTGAAGCCCTTCTCACCCCTGGCTGACCCTTTTCCTGTGTCTTCCATGCATCCCAGGCCATTGCTGGAAAAGGACACTTCCTCAGAGGCTCCCCAATTCTTCTACCTTCAGGTGTTCCTAGTTGAAGGTGAGGGCTCTGTGCTGCCGCTGTCACCAGTCTATATCCCCAAGCCTCTAGCCAGCCCTTTAGAACCACCAGCCAGCCCCCTGGTACCACTGACCAGCCCCTTGGTGTGCCTCCACAGTGCCCTTGTAGTAACACTCACTTCCCTTACAGTCTGGGTGTTCCAGGTGGGGACAGGAGACACCTTGGATTCTCATTTGCCCAGAGACCTTTGCTATGAGGCCCAGGTTTCCTTGAAGTGGGTGTGTTGGTTGGTCTGTTCCCCTCAACCAGTCAGAGGGAGAGTAGATCATGGTTTAGGGTGACTGGTATAGGCTATCAGAGGGTTTAGAATCTAGAGATTGCTGGCATTTGGACTAGATAGGGCCTTGGCTCCCACAGGCCCAAGCTGCTTTGTGAACCCACCCTCAGACTGGGTTTGGCTCTTCTTTGGAGCAGCACTGGGACACCTAACATCTGGACTGTCTTTGGCCTTCCACTCTGAGTCCTACCCTGTCTTTCACCTGCCAGGCCTCTCTACCTGCCCTGTGTCCCTGTTGCTGACGCTGTCTACCCTGTACATGTTAGACGAGGATCTTGCAGGGTCCCAGCTGGAGACACACCTCCTAGCATCATCTGGTGAAGCCTCTGAGCAGGCCTCTTTCCTGAGGCCCAACCCTTCCCTGCGGGTCAGGGAGCAGCAGCCCCTCAGCAGCCTGAGCTCAGTGCTGCTCTATCGCACAGCCCCTGAAGACATGCGCCTGGTCTTCTATGATGAGGTGTGTGAGTCCAGGGGTAGTGGTGGAGAGGACAGTGGGGAACTTTGTCTAGGAAGGCTGAGGATTGGGGGCAGGATGAAGCTGAGGGGTTGGTAGGCATAGTGGAGGGAACATGAGATTGGGGTGTGAGGGTGGGTTTGGATGAGTAGTTGATTGAGCAGGAGGCCGGGGCTGTCAGTAGGAACACCCTGGCCTGGAGCCCAGCCACTTTTGCTGGGAGGCCTGTAGTGAGGCAGCCGCTTCTGTGAGTTTGTGTGGTTGGTTACTGTGTGACAGCCATTTTACCTTCACAGCCACAGCATGAGGGGAGGTACTGTTACTGGCCCTGTTTTATAGATGAGAAAACTGAGGCTTGGAGACAATAACCAACTTTCCCAGGTCACTAGTTGTACAATCAGGAATTGAACCCATGCAGATGCAGTTCCTTGGAGGTGACGCCAGAGCCTGTGTGGCCACATTGGGAGGACTAGAGATGGGCTGAGCCTGTAGAGGATTACAGTTAGTGCCAGCTGAACTCTGTACATGGCTCAGGGTCAGCATCTTTTATGAAGAGCGATGACAGGCTTAGTGAGCCAAGGAGGGTGGTAAGTCCTCTCATGAGTCGCCTTCTGTACCTACCTGGGGGAGCCCCTGTGTGTCTCACCTTGCTAACTGTTTGACCTGCAGGTATCTCGGCTAGAGAGTTTCTGGGCTCTTCGTGTTGTATGTGGGGAGCAGCTGACAGCCCTGCTGGCCTGGATCCGGCCCCCCTGGGAGGAGTTGTTTTCAATTGGACTCCGGACTGTGACCCAGGAGGCTCTGGACTTTGATAATGGGTCACATTGACCCCAACTCTGACTCAGGAGTCAGGCTGCAGACACTCCTCCTGGTCTTGGGCTCTGGCTTCCAGACTGCCTGTGGACCTCCAGCCTGTGGGCACTGGCAATTGAGGCCCCAAATGACCCATAACATAAGGGAAGGGTGAGTGAAATTGGTCCCCAGGTGATTTGGCCTAAGGGGAAAGGTTAAGTGGTCAGTGAGAATGGTTTTCCTACACTTTTCTCAGGTATGAATAAAGTTGTTTCTATTCCAGATGTCATGGTGTAACTTAGATGTGTTGCTTGCAGGCTTGCCATTCCCCTAACCTCTTCCTGAATGGGCAGCCCTTGGCATCCTTGTTCATACTACTCTGGCCAAGTAGGACTCCTGACTCCTGACCCATAGGCATCCAGTCTGCTAGCCAGCAGTGACCTGTTACATGGCCACGGAATGTCTTACCAGTCAGATCGCTGAGTCTCTTAGATTCTTATGCTCACATTTCAGTTGGGAATCAGGCCATTGCAGAAGGAGTCTGGGAGAGGGTGTGTGGAGGAAGAGTGTGGCATCTAGAGCCTTCTGCACTTGTCACCTTCCCACCGCACTGCCTCATTCAGCCTAGTATCTTTCAGTCCTCCTGTCTCCATGTCTGGTCATGGCGATTGGCTTAGGAATGCTCATGTGATCTAGTGTGGCCCACTGAGTCCAAGCCCTGGCTTTTGTCTGGAGTGGCCAATGTAGGGGCAAGTCTCCTTCCTGAAAGTTGCTGGCAGGACAAGGTGGAGCTGCTGGCCACGGGACAGTGCACATAGAGGAAGATGGAATTCAGGTGGGAAGGGCCAGATGTAATCCTGGTGATGTCTTTGGGGCCTCAGTCAAGTTGTGTCTGAAGGCACATAGCTCTGTGATTTTAGATTATGTGAACTAGAGGAAACATTTTTTTGTTTTTGAATCAAGCATGAGCTGTTAAAGGAATTGTGACTGCGTAGACTCCTTTTCTGACTTGAACCATTCTGGGGGGTAGTGGTGGTGGATAGCTGTTCTTTATACCCAAGAATGAATATAGTAAGTATAGTGAGACCCACAGATTTGTGTAGAGAGGCCCTGGCTCTGGTTTCAGTTCCTGAGTGAGGCAGTGTAATTAATCCAGGTCACTGTGTCAGGCCACCAGCCTAAGGTCTTGACAAGTTTGTGGCCTGATTGATGGGACTGCAGAATTAGGACTGTGTCACTCACTGTTGGAATCTTTCTCTTCTAGACCTGAACAGCCCATCCTACCTCTATATTCTTGGAGTTGAAGTACTTAAAATTAATGGGATATTTTTCAAGCTTTTATTTTATATATATTTGAACAATATAAGCATACTTAAAAAAGTTTACAGTGGAACTAAGGATGTATTACAAAAAGTGAGTTGTCATTGCTGACCTCTCCAGTCCCTTCTCGAATCAAACTTGTTAGAAAATTTTCCCTGTATCTCTCCAGAAATTTGAATGCCTGTCTATTAATTTTTGTACCCATTTTCCCAGAAGCAGGTAGTTAAGCCATTTAATTCCCTAAGAAGAGACAGATTCCTAAGATTAGTTTCTCCCCAGGCAGTGTCCTGCTCTGGAGATATGCCAGTGGGGAGATGCTAGGCTGGGGTTGAGGTCCCTTGTTGATAGGCTTGAAAAGGGCAGGAGGCCTAGAGGCCTGTGCATAGGCTCAGAAAATAAATTCACCTACTTCTGTCTTGCTTAGAGCTGCCCTGAATTTTTAATTGAAGCAAATTAAAACTTCCCCAAAACATAAGTCTACTTTCAGTGATGTGCATAGCCCCTTCCCATTAGTGACTGCACCATCTGTGAACAGGAGCCGATGCTGGCCATGACGTAGGCTTTCCCGACCTTTAGCTAAAAACTGCCTTTCATCACAGGACCCAGTGCAAGCAGAAGCCCTTAGCTCCCAGAAACTGGAGCATTATGGCCCAGAGTAGTATCTGGACATTTGCAAAGAAGTATAATGCCAGGGTGTCAAAGAAGGTTCTAATTCATGCTTCTGGTCTCTGGGACTGTCCTTGTTTCTTGGAACAATGCAGCAGTTATCAGCAGCCTTTGTGCAAAGCTACTCTGTCTTTGGGGATACAAAAAACAGAAATGTTCTCTGGAGTGAGGAATTTGATGCTTTAGCTTTGTGCCTCACCCGGAACAGGGGTCCTGGTTGGAGTGGTTGCACTCTTCCCCAGACCCTGTGATCTCAGGAATGATGGCTTTGTTGCAGATGCTAGACATGGGAGGAACTTGCCTCACACACCCTGAACTGCCTCCAGGGATCAATTGTCCCTTGTCTGGTCTTTCCCCTCCAGCAAGTGCTTATTGATTGCTTTGCCTCTGTCTGGCCTTGGGTTGGCATGAAAGATGCACAGTGGAGGCTTTGTGGCTCCTGGAAAGCATTAGAGAGAGGGATTCTCTTTGCTGAAACTACACCACAACACCAAGCCACATTTTCTGTAGAAAGGAGGTGGGAGGAGTATGTGCATACTTACTTCTAAATCTTAGAGAGATAACTGGGTGGAATGAGATGAAAATAAGAACAAGGCAGTAGGGAATGGAGTGATGATGAAGGGCTTAAAAATGGCAGAAAGGGCTTGTAATGTGCCTTAGTTGTAGAGTGTTTGCCTAGCATGCATGAAGCCCTGGGTTCAATTCCTCAGTACCACATAAGCAGAAAAAGCCAGAAGTGGCTCTGTGGTTCAAGTGGTAGGGTGCTAGCCTTAAGCACAGAGAGGCTCAGAGACAGTTCCCAGGCCCTGAGTTCAAGTCCCAGGACCAGCCAAAAAAACCAAAAAGGATTAAAATTGAAAGCCTTTGGATATATTATAGACTCAAAATTTATATTTAAAAATTTAAGCCAAGCACCAGTGGATCATGCCTGTAACCATAGTTGCTCAGGAGGCTGAGGTCTGAGGTTCAAAGTCTGAAGCCAACCAGGCAGGAAAGTCCATGAGACTCTTATGTCCCATTAACTACCAAAAAGCTGGAAGTGGAGTTGTGGCTCAACTGATGGAGTGTTAGCTTTGAGCAGTAAAGCTCAGGGACAGCACTCAGGCTCTGAGTTCAAACCCCCAGACTGGCGCACACACTCACATAAGTCTGCATGAAGCTCTTTGTCTAGGGCAGTCAACTATCAATAAACATTGATTCCCAAGATACCAGCAAGGAGGAATGGAACTGAGTGAAGAGCCTGGCTATGTCTTGGCAAGAGATGGTCCATTTTTCGGATGAGGCATTTCAGATGGAGTGAGGGGTGGCATCCGTCCTCCTTTGTTTGGATGTTGCAGTAGCTTGTAAAAGATCCTATCCCCTGGGGCTGGGAAGGTGGCTCAGTGGTAGAGCGCTTGCTTTGCATGCATGAGGCCCTGGGTTCGATTCCCCAGCACCACATAAGCATAAAGAAAAAAAGCCGGAAGCGGCGCTGTGACTCAAGTGGTAGAGCGCTAGCCTTGAGCTAAAGAGCTGAGGGACAGTACCCAGGCCCAGAGTTCAGGCCCCATGACCGGACCCCCCCTCCCCCCAAAAAAAAGATCCTACCCCTGTTGTTTAGTGACAGCTGGAAATTCAGGCACAGTTCTGCATATGATGCTGTGCCCATCCATCTAATAAGGTATGGGGTGGTGTAGTTGTGGTATAGGAAAAGGCACAGAGGATTTAGGTCCAAAGGCCTCAGGATTATGCCTTAATTTTGTAGTTCACATTTAACCACAGGCAAATAACTTATTCTTGCTCTTTCATTCTTCAGCGTGGGCAGGAAACTAATCAACCTACCTAGTTCTCAATTGTTGACTACAGTTGTACCTGAAGTACTGTGCAGAGCATAAAGCATTCTGTGCTTGTTTTAAAGCATTCCTGCTAGTTGCTACTTGCTGCTTTGCCACCTAAGATTGAATACTCTATTTGATCAGAAGAGCAAACACCTTTTACTGCTCATGTATTTATGAGTGGATATTTCCCCAAAGTGCTTCTGAGGAAGCCTCAGACACTCTTGGAGTGAGTCACACAGCATGTTTTTCCGTGGCCCATCCTTTGTCATTTGATCATTTTGGACTCAGTGACTTCTCTGTCCTCTACAAAAACATTCTTCAGTTTATTAGTTACTATAATTACTTTGTGCACTTGCTTTCAACTCTACAGATACTTACAGAGCTCTTCAAATGTGACAGGTTCTATGTGAGATGGGGGAGGAATATAGGAAGAATCAAACTGCTCCTAAGTTCAAGGAACTTAGAAGTCCCCTGGACAGGGCTGGGAAGGTAGCTCAGCGGTAGAGTGCATGCCTTGCAAGCATGAGGCCCTGGGTTCGATTCCTCAGCACCACATAAACAGAAAAAGCCGGAAGTGGCACTGTGGCTCCAGTGGTAGAGCACTAGCCTTGAGCTGAAGAGCTGAAGGACAGCGCCCAGACCCAGAGTTCAGGCCCCATGACTGGCAAAAAAAAAAAAAAAAGTCCCCTGGACAGAGTGGAAAATGGTACTTTGGATCTGCTCTTAAGGAATGGGAAAGATTATAGTAGGAGAATATTCTAATACTGACCTGTTCATCATTCTTCTTATTTGAGACAGGGTCTTGCTTCTATATATGAATGAAAACAGCCTGTATTTGGCTTTTTGAGCTTGGCTTGTTCAACAGGTTGTTCTCCATATAAGTGTGTAAATTTGTATATATATTCATACATATAGACACATATGTCATATATACTAATTATGCATAATATAACTATATCTCATATCCTCTTTATCCTTTCAACTGTTGTTGGCTATCTCAGCTGATTCCACATTTTGGCTATTGTGAACAGCACTCTAATAAACGTGGCCATGCGGATGTCTTTTTTGTGAATTGTTTTGCACTCTTTTGGATATATGCCCAATAGTGGTATGGAAGGGTCATAAGATTGGTCTATTTTAATTTCTTTGAGGAACCTCCATGATTTCCATAGTGGTTGCACTAGTTTACATTCTCACAAACAGTATATATGGGTTCCTTTCCCCCACATCCTTGCTAACATTTGTTGTTTATTTTCAAGATGAATGATATTTTGACTAGGCTAAATGAAATCTTTTTTTTTTCTTCAGGCAGAAGAGTTTATTAGCAGAAACAAACTGCCAGCTTGCATGAGATACAGTGTGCAGAGAGAGAACTTATGGCAGGGAGAAAGGTTATATAGGGGGAAGGTGAGAGGAGGCATGGCCTCAGAGCCCCGTGTGCCAGTTATCTGGGACTTCTAGAGAGGGCCATGTGTGCGTGG